GTAACTTGTGTTGGCATGTCCTTATGACTTAAAATTTGAAGGGGAAAAAAAAGGAATAATTTTTTTCCCAAGGGAAAAATGTGCTTTCTCCACAAGAAACACCTTAGTAGAAGATACTAAACCAGAACTGTTCAAATTTTATTATTCTCATTAGCATCCTTGCTGGGTTCATTTTCTGTTTGGGTTTTACCGTGTCTTTATCTGAAAATTTTTCCAACGTAAGTGGATGGGTATCTCCTGTGTCCTCTCACCTCCCCTCCTGGTGAAGTAGAAATGCATTGGGTAACTCGCTGGTTTTGTCCAATGATGACTCCATGTCATCAAAAGCCCTGTAAGTATTTTCACTCCAGTGTGAAGAATTGCCCCCTGCTATGCTAATCCTCAGAAACCCATTATCAATAGTAAGTGTATTAGGGTCTGAGACATCCCATACAGACCTGCTAACACTGCTGAGTGTCCCAGCCAATGAGGAATCTGTCATTTTAAGAACACAATTACTGAATTTCCACAGGTTGGCTGCATATTGCCAAAACAGCAACCTGTTGTAAAAGGTAGCTTCTGTTTTTTGGGTTTAACAAAGCTTTAATAAATAAGGCCTTTTATCATAGGAATTTATGTAAAGATGCACTGATTTTACAGAACTACCATTACTTCCTTTCTCTTTCCTTGACATAAAAATGGAAATTCAATATACAGGAATGGGAGAGGCAGCCAACAAGTTTTGCATTTTGCTGGGAAGTTGGCCTGCAAAACACAGACTGGCTCTGTGTGCTCTGGTCCTAGTGACGAGGCCAAGCTCACTACCAGATCAGTTAGAATATTTTTTTTCCTCCCCCAAAAGACCTTTCAGAATCCAGTTCTCCACCCATGTAGTTCCTTTGTTGGGTTTTGGCCAATTTAAAGCATCCCAGAACATTATGCTACTAATATGTGGTGCATGGGGTCTGAGACCAACTTCGGGCATCAGAGGTATTCCATCTGGGGATACGTTTGAAGCAGAATACACCACAAGGATTTCATGGGGACAAAGGAAGGAGAAGACATGGGAACAGGCTAGCTAAAAGTCATTTTTCCAGAAGTAAACCTGCCATGGGAACACTGCAAGGACTGGATTTCTCCCCTTTTGATTTGCAGTTTTGTTTCTGCTCTGGTTTTCTTCATGTATTTCGTTCAAGGTCCACTGCAGTGACTGTTGAATCCCTTATTTCATATAATTGTTCCAGTTGCTTTTTATTGGCATTGGCTGATGACGTTGCAAGCGGAGGGGAACAGCTGAAGGGTATTTAGAAGTGCACAGCTCAAAGCAGAAACCTTTTCACGCTGGGTAAGCGCCTTGCCCTGAGCCCTGCAGGGCATTAAAAAGCCAATAACTTGCAATACACATAGGAAGAGAACAGCTCCATATTCTCCACCTGAAGCAGATCTTGTGTTTCACTTCATTTTGCTTGCAAGGAACGTTGGTAATTCCTGAAGGATTACATAGAAGTGTCAGAAGTCTCTGCTGTAGTTTTCGGAGTGGGAGGTTCTGCTACTCACAGCCAACAGTACAGACCACAAGCGTTTCTTCTATGTTTGTCTCCACACATAATTTAAAAGAGAGGGGCACTGACTTCATCTTAGTTTTCAACGTTAGGTCACTTGTATTGTTACAGGGGCACATTAACTTTTTAATAGCACACCCTTTGTGGACTATTTAAATGTTCCCATTTTAAGAAAACCTTTCCCTTCATGGAACTGCATGGATGTGTTGCTTGCTCCAGTCCAGCTTCCAACACTTGGGGAAAAACGCTCAACAGTATTCAGGTTGGTGGAAGTTTGACATTTCATTGGTAGTAGTTTTTAAGAATTAACAGGGTGGGGAGTCGAGCCTGAACTGCAAGAAATGGGCAGTTCTGTGGTGCCTGGGGAGCAAAGGTGCTCACTGTGTCCCAGCAACGGTTCTCTGGCAGCTTCAGCGTACGTGCTCATCTTTAGTTCATTTATCATCCTGTGTTTTCATGCTGGCAGATGCTAAATCTTGAGCAGATATTTAGGACAAAAATCCAAACATGGAGTTTCATCCAAAGGTTTATTTAGCGTATTATACCAAAACCAACTTTAGTTCTGTTTTGCAAAATAGTTCGGGATTTTTAGGTGTATTTATGTGCAATTTTTGTTGTACCCCATGAAAAGAATATTTCAAAGAAAACATATAAAATTCTATTGTGTGTGTTAAATCAAAGAGGCAATTGTCTTTCCTCTCTGGGGCATTTGTGTTGGAGGATGTGGCAGGAATCCATCCGAGGGTTTCGTGCTGGCTGGTGTTTATACACCATTGTGTCACCATCCTCCCCAAACTGTGTTGAGCTCCGAGCAGCGTTTGGGGCTCCCAGGTTATACACTCCAGGTCGAGCAGCACGGGCATTCGGCAGCTCCTGACAGCGTTGGGGTGGTCGGGGCAAAACAGACAAGCTTTGGGTCTTCCCCTTGTGAAGGGAGAGGCTTTTGTAAAGGTCCCAACCTCAGCAGCCTGCTGAAAATAAATCAAATGGCTTTTCACAGCACTGAGAACACCTCTGGTGTTCTGGGTAATGACACGATGGCAAATGGTATTTTTTCCCTTTTGTGACTTTAAATGGTTCTTTGAAAAAATGTTTTAGAAACAGAGGGCTTTTAAGGTGATTTTGGACATCTAAAAGATTTTTTTGTATAGATATTGTGACGTTTTACAAAGCAATCTAATTGTTAATTGTTCTGAAAACAGTGTAAACGTGTAATTAATAGAGTAAAGGATTTAAAGCTTCATGCCATGCTGTATGTCTGTAAATACATTCCATAATTTCTGAGTCTGTTACATATAAATATGTCTGGATATTGTATACTTTATTTTAAATTGCCTGTATTATGCCAATAGTGTGAACTTCTAGCACATTGATAATATAAAAGGAAACCATGGGTAATTTGAAATAAAGTTTTAAAACTCACGTGAATTACAGCATTGTGTCCTGCTGGTTTTGTGTCACATCCTCTGTGTCAGGTGTTTATTCCCCTTCCCCATCGTCACAGTTAATGGACCCGATTCCTTTCTATGTTTTTCAGGGTTTAGCAGGATAGAACAGTGCCAGCATTTTTTACACACATTCTGCAGCCACAGCAGAAGCTTTTGCTTTGGGGTATTTTTAGCCTGCCCCAGACACTGAGAAGCAGCAATTTTGTACAGAATCCTTTAGCCCTC